GTTCTCGAATTGTCCTACGTTGGGATTTACCACGGATTTAGGGATTTGTAAAAATTCCCCTACGTCCCGTGAAAAATTCACGTTTCACGACGAATTTCTTCACATTGATACAAAGCCGCTGCAAACGTTTCGAGATGTCGCGGTAGTTTGCTAGAATCCACGAGTCTCTCGAAACGAAACAGAACAGTAGATCATAAATTCAATTCCACCGTATTCAATTTTTCATCTCGTAACTGTCCGCGATTTTTACCCCGGCTCCCGTGAGAATCGGATGTTATCAAACGCGCATCAACGTGCTCGCATGCCGAGGAATCGTAAAATTATGTTCCACGTCGAGTTTCACCCCATTCCCCATCGCGTCGTGATTCATCCAGTACGAAGAATTGAACGGGTACGTAAGACGAGTACTAAACCACCGCAGAGGGTAATAAATCTCGCCATTTTTAATCCGCGAGGGACAAGGACAGAGATAGCTACGTTACTTCCACGCTACGTGCTTCCCCGAATTTCATTCCCCTTCGAACGATCGACGTACGCGTGATTAACGCGAAAGGGAGGATCGACAAGAGGATCCTCCTATAATCTATCATCGTTTTCCAACATTTCCTCGCCGCCATTGTCGAGTTCTAATCGGTCAATTCGTTATCTTGTAATCGTAGTAACGAGTAATATTTCGTAGTACAGCTTCCAAAATTTCGTGGTCGAATTATTCCTGTCAGGGTTTAACCTCCTGCGCTGGCGACTGATTGCAGACCATAACGAGTGACCAAATGACTGTACACAATAACTCGTCGCTTTTCTTTTCTTTTTGAACTCGTCTGTATATTACTGGATAGAAATTATTGAGAAGTAATAAATTTATTACTTGTTTCGCCAGGATTATACTTAAATATACTTAAAACTGAGAAAATGTTGCAATTTTCGGACAAAAAAATTCTCGACGTGCGTGGCACGTCATTCCAGCGAAAGAGGTTAACCCCTTTGCGCTGGCAATTGATTGCGGACCATAACGAGTGACCGAACCCGTGTACAATAATTTCGTCGCTTTCATTTTCAACTCGTAGGTACGACATCGATTGGATCGAAATTCTTGAGAAGTAATAAATCTATTATTTGGTTTATCTATTTTGTTTTATTTAAATATACTTGAAACTGAGAAAATGTTGCAATTTTCGGACAAGAAAATTCTCGACGTGCGTGGCACGTCATTCCAGCGAAAGAGGTTAACCCCTTTGCGCTGGCAATTGATTGCGGACCATAACGAGTGACCGAACCCGTGTACAATAATTTCGTCGCTTTCATTTTCAACTCGTAGGTACGACATCGATTGGATCGAAATTCTTGAGAAGTAATAAATCTATTATTTGGTTTGTCTATTTTGTTTTATTTAAATATACTTGAAACTGAGAGAATATTGCAATTTTGGGACAATTTCTCGACGTGCTTGGCACGTCATTGCGGCGAAAGAGGTTAATTTAGTTTGATATAATTTACTTTGGCATCGTGACAGACAAAGAGCATTTGCGACAACGTTAGTACAATTTTCTCTCTCTCGGTAGTTTGATTCCACGTGCAGGAGAATTAGGGTTGCAGATTGCCGTAACAATTAAAGGCATTGCCTGCCGAAATTTACTGCACGGAGCGTGCAGGTATGCGATACAAGGACACAGTACACGCCACTTGACTTGGTAAACCTACCCGCAATCCCATAGTCTCTGTGTCTGGCGTTCTCGTGGATTTGCGGTGCATTGATCCGTCCGAGGGAAAGAAATTTCTAGCTCTCGAAATATTTCTGCGTTCAGAGTAATTTGGATTAACGACGCCGGGGGAGGAATGTCGAACGCGTGTCGGTTGCTTCGATCGTTAACAAAAAATTTTGAAAAGCATTCGAAGAGAATTTATTGCGAAACGAAATTTCAAATTTTCGAAATGTAATTCACGTTTTTATCGTTGGATGGTTTCGGAGATAATCTTGCTATTACCTGATCGATAATAAAATAATCGTTTCGCTTTTGGAGATTTAAGAGAGGCTGATGTATACTTGTAGAACGATAATAATAATGTCAATTTGCACTCGACGACAAGCTTTTAGAATTTTCGTAACTTTAACCCATTGCGCTGGCCACGGGTTCGCGGACCGTAACGAGTGACCGATACTGTTTTCTTTCGTACTCGTTGGCATATCACTGGACAAAAATTATTAAGAAGTAACAAACTTTAAATGTACATTTAAATGCACTTAAAATTGAGAGAATGTTGCAATTTGTTGCAAAAAGAAAAAGAAATATAGAGATTAAGCTCTTGAATGACAATTTCGACTATATTTGTTCTAAGTGACTGAATGAGAAACGAGAGAAAAAACGACTGTAGTGTCGATGAAAGCAAAAAATGAAGAAACTAAAGCACTTTTAATTTGCGCTCGGTGACAAGCTTTTGGAATTTTGGTGGCTTCAAGCACTCGAAGGGGGTTGAACGACAATTTCGACCATGCCTGACCTAAATGAACGAATGGAGACGAAGCAAGAGTGTCGAGACGTGAAAAGAAAAAGAAAAAAAGAAGAGGGAAAACTAGAGAGAAGAAAGCATGCACGCGAAGGAAAATCAACGTCCGGAAGCGCGGCGCAGCGAACAAGAAACGCCGCGGCCGCGTCGGGGGAATTCCATTCGGTGAACCGGCAGCTGGAATTCCCTCGTCTCCATTCCGTTAGCGCGGCGGCTAAATGGATTTATGGGGGAGGCTGCCGACGACGGTGGAGGAATTAGCGACGATACAAAAGCGGCTCGCGGACGATCGGAAATGCGAGAAATTCTCATTAAACGTGGTCGGACGCGAGGCCGTCGAGGCTTCGTCATTGATCTTGCAAATTCCTTCCCTCTGTCCTTGCTCTTCCATCGTCCTTCGATCCTCCGGCTCCTTCGACTCCACGAGAATTCTACTTATACGCCACGGGAACTGGCGCGTCTAGACTTTTTACTAACACGAGTTACCCTGACGGTTTTCTTCCTCCGTGTCTCCTTTCAGATCCATTTGGAGGATTTTTACGAGCTTTGCAAATTCCAGAATTGACAATTTCTGTACAATTTACAAATTTCACGCGCCTGTTCCACGTTACTTTGTATAACTCCCTTTGACAAAATAGAATTGCACCAGTGAAACTGACGAAGTCTCGGTTTCAACAGATAAGAGCGGTTAGAGAGAAAGTTGTATGTTTCGTGTATCTAACGATAAGTTTTCGTACGTTTATAGTGATTATGATGATAATTTAAATTTATATCACAATACTACAAATAAATAATAACTCCTAATAATAATTAATTTTATATAAAATTATTATCAATGTAACAAAATATATAATTACTAATAATAAATATCAAATAACGAAGATTAAATAATGAAAGTTAAGTAACGAATGAATAATTAACATGATAATTGCAGTATATATAAGTTTCTGTAAATATTTCCATGGTGATAATAAAATTACTAA